TGTATTCAATTAAATGTACCATTAATTTGAAATGTCGTCACAATTGACAAAACATATGAAACTTATGTCAAAATATTAACTTTTAATATTTGTATTTATTATTTGCATTAAACACAAATCTATTTACGGTAGTATTAAACTAATCCCTTAATCGCAAAACAGTTAATCCTATGGTTTAGCACACGTTTCGCACAATCAATGAATTCATTCAAATAACAAACATCTTAAGAATCTTAACCACAATTATCACACATTTGCCATCACTAGACACGCAACACAATCACACAAACCTCTCTATACTTCTGGAGATACAACTTCAACGGATCCACATAGTTATCAAAGCCCAGCGTCGACATCGCGAACAGTATATCCTCGCCGTTGATGGTCTTACGCTTCTCCTGATGGCATCGATCGCTAGCCTCCGACGTGATGAACGACACGAACTCCGAGACACACTCCTGGACGCACTCTTTGGCGTCTTTGGCAATCTTCCCGGACTTGGGAATCGCTTCCTTCATAATGCGCGCCACGTTCGCGATGGGGAGGAAGCGGTCCTGTTCTCGCAGTGGCTCCACTTTGTCGCCATCGCCGTTGTCCGAGTGTTCGTCGTGTGATCCCATTCCCATCTGCGAGTCGTCGCCATCGCCCGTGTTGTCCGACGCGTGGACTATAAACTGTTGCGAAGAGTTGAGGAACGAGTCGGTGATAGTGGAAACAGATTGAATGGGAACTACTGGTTAAGAAGTTGTGGACACAATCGGTGCGTTCAGTGAATATACTGTTGACATCACCACAAATGTGTTCATACGTTATGTGTGGCACTCATTGGATGATAGAGTACTGGCAATGCATTGTCAACGCAATGCAATCTCTATAGCGAGCTATGATTTTCTCCACGTCTCCCAAACTGCATGTATTGAGCCATAAGGTCATCCCCTCTATCAGAGACTGTGTGTGCAATAGGCTATAGCGTTGCCAACACATACATGAGCATACCTGTGCTCCACATACTGTTTTACATACAGTCTATCATTCATACATTTCTCCACATCGATTTGAATTTATTTTTAGGATTACTTTTAGTTTTAATGTTGTTTTGAGTATTGGGGTTAGTTTGGTGAGTTAATGTGAGTTAGTGTGTTTAAATAGGGTTTTTTATTTTGAATGCTTAATTTTTAAAAAATAGTTGCTGGGTGCTTTTCAAGTTCAAGGCTCTTATAATTTGTTGTATGAGTTCTAACGGTGCAAATAAGTTAAATAAGTGTGGTTATTAATGATTGCACAACTTTACTTTTAATACACGTGTGATTTGCAGAATATTTATCAGAAAATAAAAATCCTAACTTTTATTTTAATTATAACTTTTGACCACAAATAATGGTATAGTTTGGAAATAATAGTTTGGTATTTATACAGATTCTTCATATTTGTTGGAATAATTAGTTAACTTTTAATAAATCATTTTATAACTAAAAATATTTGGTTTAAAATTAGATTTATATTCATTTAGGAGCTCTGGTTGAGAATAGTCTATTAAAAACTATTTTCTATTCCGATATGAAAGTTCAAATCATTTTCTATTAAAAACTTCAATTTAAGTTCATGCATAATAAAATCACCAGTGTAAACAATTAAAATTCAATTGTTCAAATAAAATTAAACTTGCGATTCAATTAAATGGTTTACAGTTTATTTTAATTTACAAATATTTCCAAATTTCTTAAGCAAAGTTTAATACATACCGTATAAAAATTGTTATTGAAAATTAATTACATTTAAAAAAACAGACATTTTCTCAAAGCATTTATCATTTGCTTACATTAACTCAGCTTTATAAAATTATTGTTTAAATATTACAATTAAGTGTACAATTCAATGATAATTAGATTCTCGAAAAGACTATTAAAATTAAATGAAACAATTGGGGAAATAGTGGAGGAAAGGGATATAATTAACGAAAAGTAATAATAAAAGTTTTAACGAAAACCAATCAATCGATTGAATACTAATAGTCAACAAAATTGGTTATAAAAAACAAACGGAAATAAAGTGAAAAATATATATTTTAATCAATATTTAGTTGCAATTAAATTGAATACTAGTGGCGAATGGGCTTAAAGTTGGTGTTCAGTGGATGTCTTGAGTTGAGCCAATCGCTCGATGTCGTCGAGACTGAGCTGATCCACGTCTGACTGGAGGTTACGCCGGAACTCGTCCACGATCTTAATGGTAGCGAATGGGCTTAAAGTTGGTGTTCAGTGGATGTCTTGAGTTGAGCCAATCGCTCGATGTCGTCGAGACTGAGCTGATCCACGTCTGACTGGAGGTTACGCCGGAACTCGTCCACGATCTTAATGGTGTCCGACTTCGTGTAGTACTTCTGCAGCACTTGACTCAAGTGATCCCAGAAGACGTTGGACTGCGATGACGGCTGACAGCCGTCGGCGCTATTCGTGGACTCGACGGCAAACAAATGGATTTTATTGCCTTCGCTTATCTCGTAGTCTTCGAGCGACATATTGTCTGCAAATCAGATGCAAATCAAACACATTATTATCAACACATGATTCGAGTCTTAATCGATGGATGAGTGACTCGCGAGTAATGTATACAACACCTGATAATGTCTTTCCTTTGAAGACTAGCTTCTGCTGACAGACGGGTATCTGCAAGTGTTTGGCCACCAATTCCTTCACGTATATCACCGTCGAGTTGGTCGACACCTGCGGAGGAATGTGACCACAAATGATCTCATTTGACATTCAAGTGATGGTCAATACAAACCTCGATATTACACTCATTTCCCGGGATTTTCTTAATACATATTAACATATTTCATGCGATTATGTGTTGAATGGTATGAAAACTATAGTATGAATGATATGTCGATTCAATTGAATGAAACCTAAAACACAATTATTGGCGAAAAAAATAATAAAATAAAAGTTGTTTTTGTCTCCAATTCACGTAAACAAACCTTAAGTTAATACAGCTTTTTGTTGAGGAAAAAGGGCCTAAAATATCGATAATAACACTATTCAATGTGGCTATGCTTTACGTGTCATATGTTTTGATCCCTTTTATAACTATAAATCGCATAAATACCTCATTTAGGCCACTATTGATGCCATCTGTCAGTGCATTGAAATTTGTGTCAATTAATCAAAATGACTATTTAATTACTATACAAATAAATAACTTAATTAATACAATCATTAAATCGATAACAATAAAATTACTCATCATTATCGACAATGTGTTGACAAACTTTATGTTTTATATTAGCGTAATATATGGGTGACAAACAAATACCTTACAGTCGAGTCCATATAAATAGTGGCGAAAAGTGCCGCCTTTCGCACAGCTATTCACTGCATACCCGTTGCATAGCGTAAGTGCAGTGAATGCTAGCGAGGGGTGGAGTCACTGTGAATACACTGTGCGTGCGTTGACAGCATAGGAGACATTTTGCATCTCATTTCCCAGTTTTATATTGGCTTTCATTGAATGGATAATTACTGGTAAGCCTTACACTCATTGACCAATAATTGAGTGATTATTATAAGCGTGGAATCAATTGAAAGGTGAGATACCAATGGGAATAGCGATGACACGAGTGGTGCAGTGATTACAACGACTGTCACTGCAGTCACCCATTAGTGACGCTCAGCGCGAGTCTGACCGTCAGTGTGACACACATTGTCTCACACTTTGCCACCACTTGTGTCATGTGTTTAGCCATTGCTGTCGCGATGTTAAGACAACAACAACAACAACACTAACCGCGTGTTTGCATTGCATGTGCGGATCCGCTGCAGTGATGACAGGGCGAGGATGTCGCTGATAAAGATGGAGACCCCCGACGGCACCGGACAGGCGTCCACTATCACCGACTCGTTCCTCAACTCTTCGCAACAGTTTATAGTCCACGCGTCGGACAACACGGGCGATGGCGACGACTCGCAGATGGGAATGGGATCACACGACGAACACTCGGACAACGGCGA